CGAGAGACCATTTTAAAAAATTAGGAAGGAAAACAAATGCCCAGATCTCGACTCTCCCTCGTGTTTTCCCAGCCACTCTGCTTAGGAGACAATAAAACTGTCCGCAAGAGATAAAATAAAATAAGAAGAGACTTACAAGCAGACGCGCAGGGAGGAGGAGTAGAAGGTGACTGTCCTTGGACTGACTGACCTTCTCCAGCGGCGATATTTTCCTACGGGCTTTTCCCAGCAGCTGAGCTCAGCGCTCAGGAACGACCATCCCAAAGCAGGGAGCCGGGCAGGCACCCGAGTGCTGCTCTCCACGCGGGATGTTAATCGCCAGCGAAATTTGGACGTCGGGAGGCTGCGCCTGCCTGCGCCGCGTACGGCTTCCCTATTCTAGTGACCGGTTCCAGTGCCGCGAACTCAGCAGGACTTGCCTCCGCTGCCGGGCTACACTTTCTTAAAGAGACAAGCCACGACTCGGCGCGCAGCGGATGCAATTACATTTTCAGCCACCGTCGACGACGGATACTCGGATCACTCATGGGAAAATGACAGGATTTTCAACGGTCCTGGACTCCTGGCTACTCACTATCACCCTCCTTTCTTCTGCCAGGACTAAATGGCTTGCCGTTTTGGTTTAGGAGACTAAAAGGCTGCGATCACACACACTAAATAATCCACTCTCCATCCACTTTTAAATTGTATTCTGCCAGTTCACACAGCAAAATCCAGTTCAAAAGTGCACTGAAAGTGGGTTGAAAGTGAATTATTTAGTGGGTGTGATTGCAGCCTAAGATTCCAGAGGTGGGGCAAAGACCTGAGGTACGAAAAATGATTGTTCCCTCTCAAAGTGCTGCTGGAGAATCACGTTTTGGATTTTCTTCCCTTTTTAAAATTGTTTTATTCACTCATACCCCACCTTTCTCCCCAAATGGGGACCAAAGATGCTTACATCATTCTCCTCTTCTCCATTTTACCTTTGTGTCAACCCCTGTGAAGGCAGGCTGGCTGAGAGAGCGAGTGACTGGCCAAGATCACCCAGCAAGCTTCCCTGGCATGAGTGGGGATTCGAACCTGGGTCTACCCAGGTACTAGTCTGACACTCTTAACCACTACACCACAGTGGAATGGTCCACTACAACTCCATGCAGATCGAAATCAAGCACAGGGAGCAGCCAGAGAGATGCAGAACTTTTCCCCCTACCATGCCAGTTTTCTGCTGCATGGAGATGGAACATTCACAGTTGGAATGCATCACCTGCAGGCTGAAGTGTGGAGTTCATCCTTCCACCCCCTTACCATTTCATTCTCCTGTATGTGTGCACCAGGTCTTATTTCCCTATGTCTTTCACAGCTGCATGACACAGGCAGAAAATCATACAGAGGACGTTTTCTATGACCTGGAGCCTCAGATGTAGGGGAGCCGTTATTAAAGGCTCATGAGGCCCAGCTGGAAACCAGACATGAAAGCAGCCACCTAGCTCATGTCAGCATTAAATGGGATGAGACAAATGGGAAGAAATCTAGCTCATAGCACTCTGAGAGTTCTCATACCCTCTGTCTCACTGACTTGCTTCGAAAAAGAAGGGAGAAGCTGTTTAGAGCTAACAAGTATATTGGTTTTTGCACCTGGTACTCATGGGCACGATGGCACCCATAGGTGTATTTCGTCTGCTTTCTTCTTCCCCCAAAGGGTCTCTTTTCTGAAACAAAGAACGAGTCGTGCATTCGTCTGCACGAACCTTACGAAAGCACCTCTAGCCCCTGGGTACTGAAAGCCAACTGGCTCCAGTTCTCCCCTCCCCTCCCTTCCCTTCTGCGGCTGCCTCCTTAAACAGAAAGAAAAAGAAAGGAGGAGAGAACAGAGCGAGACCACCCTATCCTCCTCTCCCAGCCAAAGTGTAAGATTCCGGATTTATTTATTTGTTTATTTTACTAGACTTATGAATCGCCCACCCTGCAAGCAGGCTCTGGGTCATTTAAAGGTAAAGGTTCCCTTGCTCGAAAGCCAGTCGAGTCCGACTCTAGGGTTGCGGTGCTCATCTCCATTTCAAAGCCGAAGAGCCAGCGCTGCCCGAAGACGTTTCCGTGGTCATGTGGCCGGCATGACTAAACACCAAGGTGCACGGAACGCTGTTACCTTCCCACCGAAGTGATTTACAACCTTATAAAAGATTTAAAGTACATTAATATATAATTAATGTTACCAACAGTATACAATAAACTAAAACTAATCCAAGATGACAATACAGTAATCCTCCTTTGCCAGCCGCATCTCTGTTCCGCACGGCAGGGCAGGGAAGGGCACGTGGGGCCATAGAAGGGTTAAAAAAAATCAAGTACGTTTCCTGTTCTTAGACCTTGCTCCAGTTAGGTGGATCCTGTCCTTGTTAACTCAACGTGTGACTGTGATGGGGTGTACTTGCATGTAAATATGCACAGGAGGACTGCAGCGTTAAATCCCCTCCCTCACTGCTTCTCCCTGATTCCCTGACCCCCAAACCCACCCAGCATCCATCCCTCTCCATTCACCAGCGCCAAATGCCCCTCCCCCACAATCCCCTGCAATTATCCTCACCCAGATCTAGGGGTTGCCAACATTTCTCTTACTAGCTCCTACTCCTGTGCATCTCACAGCAGCTTGGACAAGCCAGTAATAAGTGTTTGCTTTGTTTTGTCAAAAGTTTCCTTGCTGATTTCTATAGAGCAACTGCCTGGAAACTTTCATACAGCAAACTTCATCCCGTTAATAAACCGCCTCTGAAGTGCTATGGCTGTTTCAAACTGCACTGGTTTTTTCCCCCTGTCCTTTTTTGCCACACGATCTTCCTCGCCCTTTCTTCCCCCCGAACGTTCTAAGTTGAGCGCTATAGCGTTCAACTTAGTTTTGGAGTCTCAATGGTGCCACTGTAAAACTAAAGTGCTAAATTGGTTTAGCGCTATAGCGTTCAACTTAGAACATTCAGGGAAAGGGTGAGGAAGATTGCACGGTGAAAAAGACGGGGGAAGTTGCATTGTAGGAAGCACTATGGACATTTTAAGCAGCACACCACAGTGATTCAGAAGCACAATGAAAACGTAAAAACAGAAGAAAGCAGTTTCCCTCAAAAATGGCTCAGCCCCGCTTTGCCAATGGGACGCAAGCAGCTTTGTATGAAGATGTAAATAAAATCCATTGTTGTTGTTCAGTCGCACAGTCGAGTCCGACTCTTCGCGACCCCATGGACCAGATCACGCCAGTTGCTAAAACAGTTGTGTCTGAACTGACACAAAAAAATCCATTAGCAACCTGCTACTAAAACAGATTACAAAGGCTGTCTGAAAGGGGCCAGAGATTGCAGCTGAAAGGGCTGAGCAGAGGGATTCCAGGGGAAGCTAAACTCTGCTGTGTTGGCTTTCAGAGAGCCCCTGCTGGGGCGGGGGGGAAACTGACATTTGGCCCCCTGAATTTCCCCCCAGTCCCCCTCTCTCGGCAGCCCTAGGTCTTCTGAAGTGTTTCTTTTGATGACAACCATGATTTTGTACACCCTGATTCCAGCCAGGCAAAATGCAGAGCCCTGTCAAAAAAAGATCTGACAACCCGCTCACTGTTTAGGGTCCAGTCCAAACTGAGGAAAATGCTGAGACTAAGAAGGGCAGCCATGAACTAGAAAATATTCTTAAGTATAAGGAAGTGTCACTGGGTACCAAGTTTAAGGTAATTCAGGCCTCTATTCTCCATTACTACTGATGGGTGTGAAAGGTGGACAATGAAGAAAGCTGACAGGAAGAAAGTTGATTCATTTGAAATGTGCTGTTGGAGGAGAATTTTACGGATACCGTGGAATGCCAAAAAGACAAATAAACGGGCTCTAGATCAAATCAAGCCTGAATTCTCCCTAGAAGTAAAAATGACTAAGACTATTGTACTTTGCCCTGACCTGGATAGCCCAGGCTAGCCTGATCTCATCAGATCTTGGAAGCTAAGCAGGGTTGACCCTGGCTAATATTTGGATGGAAGACCTCCAGGGAACACCAGAGTCATGACATGGAGGCAGGCAATGGTAAACCACCTCTGAACAGCTCTTGCTTTGAAAACCCCAAACAAAATCATACTTTGGTCACATTGTGAGAAGACAAGAGTTACCAGAAAAGACAATAATGCTAGGAAAAGTAGACTGCAGTAGGAAAAGAGGAAGATGGATTGACTCAGTCAAGGAAGCCAGGGCCTTCAGTTTGCAAGACTTGAGCAAGAGTGTTAATGATAAGGTGTCCTGGAGGTTTTTAATTCATAGGGTCACCACGAGTCAGAAACAACTTGGCTAATTCCATTCCATGCACATCCATCTTGCTTTATTAAGGTAACTTTTAGAACATTCTTCCCTTATAGGCATTTATACAGTTCCTGTTAAATTTGTAGAAAGAGTTTCTCAGAAGACATACATTCTAATTCTGCAAGATCTTTTCTATTCATGGTCCTGAGTTGACTAAATCAGCTGCTACTACTGCCCTTTTCCCATATAGTGATGGGTGATGGCACCATCCAATAGCTTTCTCCATTACTTCTCCTACACTTTTAGCAGGAAATAGGCCACTGTCATTTATTAGCCAGTCATACATCATAAGGTGTGGATGGGGAATGTCTATGATAACAGGGCTTGAAAGCAGCCGTTTTCAGTAGCAGTGAAGAAGGAATAACAAAGTTTGAGTCCAGTGGCACCTTTAAGACCAATGAAGTTTTATTCACGGTATAAGCTTTCAAGCGCAAACACACTTCCTTATGTGACCCAAAGTGGCTGTCTGGAAGAACTAGCTGCTATAGAGGGCATTTTAATTCATCTCTAGATACATAGCTACAGGCATTCATAGAAGTGATAGCTATTAAAACCCTGACTTGGAAATATTTACAAAGGCGCTTAACTGTATTCAGTGTTGCACGACCACTCATGGGGCATAGAATTAGGTGCGTATAAGCCTTTGAAGCATGGGCATTAGGAGAATTAAGGAATGTAAGATTAGGTCAAAACTTGCATACATTTTTGCATTGTACTGTTCACAAAGATAACAAAATCTACATTCCATATAGTTTCTTGCACAGCTTGGTTAATGCTACTTCTCCCTCCTTACCAATTAAAAAAGATAATTGTAAGAAGTTACTTTGGGAACCAGTTTTAATGGCTCCAACCAACAGCTATTAATTAATTTACACTGAGATGTTAGTGAAATGGCCCTACAAAGATCATGATGGATATTATATATAAGGATCAGGGTGAAAAGGTTCAGGGGCAGAAACATGTTTAAAGGGCAGATTATGCCATAAAAGGGAATTGTTTTCCGCATCAAGTGTTCTGCAAAACCTTCTGTATCAGCCTTTGGTAAT